AAATCTCACTGTGCCAAGCATTATGGCTTGTGCTACATGAACCATGGCTTATGGACTAAAAATTGCCTTCATAAGTCGTAGAATTTTAGAAATTTAAGAGAGATAAAATCTAAAACACACGATAGGAGAGGAGAGAAAGAAAAGAGTGTGCTAGGGCAAGCTATTTTGGAGTGGTGGAAGGTGCTTGTGATCAATAACTTGTCAGGTAAGCTACGTATAACTCTTATCTTCCATTCTACACAAATTTCTTTGAAAATGAGTTATATGAAAATTGAATTGGTGGAATTTGAGGGTTTTGATTCTTTCCTAATAGTAATAAAAAAGTTTTTAGAAGTTAAATTAGAGTTTTATGATCGGTTTAAAGCTGAACAGTAGAATTTCAAACTGTAGGCTCAATTTTAGATCTATAAAGAGAGAAGCTAGGGTAAAAATCTAATTTTTGTGAAATGAGACTAGTTGAAGTGATGTAAAATGGATAAATGACTAAAATGAGTTTATAGATGAATATAACCTTAAGTAGTAAAAATGAGTTTTTGGTCAAAATGGACCAAATGACTAAAATGTGCCAAATGTGTTTAAATTGGCATATTAGAAATGTGAGTAGAGAAAGGGAGCTTGAGATAAGCTACTGTGATTGTTAAAATTCATGGATAACCTTTCTAGTGATAGAAGGATTAAGGTAATAAAATAACTTCCTTTATTTGACTATTTATTATAACTGTATGTTAGTATGCTATGTAGTACATGAAATGGTTTTAAACTGAACATGCTTTATATCATTGTGTGATTGTTGTGTGAAATGGTTTTTGGTTGAAATAAAGCATTGAAATGTTTGATTTCAAATAGAATGTATTATATATATATATATATGCTATGTTTGAGAAATGAGCAAAATGATAAATAAAAAATTAAATAGTTTAAAAAGCATGATCATAGGGGTGGGAGTTCACCTAAGTGGAGGAGATGATAAAGACCATATGGTAAGGTTCCCTTAGTACCTGATAGGGTGCGATGTTGGAATTAATTCTCCTTAATGCCTTATAAGATGTGGTGTTGGACAAGATCTCCTTAGTTCTTATTAAGGGGCAGTGTTGGAGATGAGGGACTCCTTAGTGTCTTTATAATATATGGTGTTGGAGTCAACGACGTCCCATTGTGTGTATTAGGATGATTCTACCACTGTAGGTGAGTTCAAAACCAATGAGATTGTACATTAGTGTAAGTGAGCCTATAGTTTCATGTTGGGGTGATTTGGAGGTTTAATCGGTAGTCATCATGCTATATCATGTTATATGATGCTAGAGATGTGATGGGATGATATGTGTTATGTGAAAAGGAATGGAAATGAGATATGTGATATAAATGTTATTTTAATGAGATTTGAATGGTTTAATATGCTTTACTTTCATATTGTTGCATATGATATTCAACAGGAGTGAGTTATTCTATTACTGAGATTTTTATCTCATTCTCGTGGTTACATGTTTACAAGACCAAGCAGTAAGTAGGGCAAGGGAAGAGAGTTTGGATTAGCTTGAGTTGTAAAAGCCATGTGACTTTGGAGTTTGTGTAATCAATTAAGAATTCTTGTGTATATGTGTAAATAAGTTGCCATAGTGTTGTATGCATGAATTGAATAGAGATTCTGTGAAATCTAGCCCAATTGTGTATATATGCATTGACTTGAAATAAGGGGCTATGATTTGAATGTTTGTGATGAATTGGTTGTTTATGCTGGTGAATATTAAGCCCAAATGAGAAATTGTGATGAAATGAGTAATTTAGGGCTAAGATTGTATTGTGAACATAAATGCATATGAATGTACCTAGAAATAGTCAAGTGGGCTAAGTTATGCCAAGAAATGGCATTAGTCGTAGAGGGGTCAAATTTTGATATATGTGTATGATTGAGATAAATTGTCATCAATTAAGTGTGTTAGGTCCTTTTAGACTTAATTCAAGGCCTTGTGTGATTTAATGAGAGAAAGGAATCGATTTGAGCGCTTGGATATGCAAATTTTTAGAAAGAGTGACTTTTTGCACCCTAATATTTAAATTTTGATCGAACCATTAGATCGTATCCAAACCTGTCTTATTAGCTAGATTACTTCATGTGGATGCTTGAATCACTCCAATCGAATACCGTATATGAAAATGGCGTATGTCAAAAGTTCATCATTTTTGTTATTAAACTGATAGTAGAAAATTGGATAGGTGTGCCGCGGTACATTGTGACACATGCCATGACACATGACACAAAATAGGTTAAGTATGTGGCTCTGTGCCGCATGCTGCGGTGATGTACTGCACACCGCAGCGCATGGACCTAATCCCAACTTACTTTGCAATGAAAGTGCATGCAATTAAGATGGTAATGCTGGTGGGTTATGTTCACAATGTATTAGAGTAATGTGAGAATTGCTTCTGTTGTGTAGTTTTCTTAATTGTGTTATGATTTGAATAATTTTGTAAAATGAGTCTTGGGCTGAAGATTTTTAAATACAGATTTTGATTTGTGATTGATGCGTGATATGGTAACTCCTATAATCTTTTGTATAGAGTGAATATAGAAGGAGGTTACAGTATTATCCTCGTAGACTATGTCCATATTTGTTTTGTAACTCAAGATGCATTTGATTACTTACCCTCGTGGACTATATGTCCACATTTATCTTCATGGCATAAGTTACATTTGGTTATTTTATCCTCATGAACTGTGTGTCCACATTTGTTACCTATTCTGTTAAGTCCTCAAAATTTTGAATTTTAAATGATTATATGAAATTTCAATGATTTTAGTTAATAGAATGTACCACTTATATTTAAATGTAAATTACTTCTTTCCTTAATCATGAAAGAACAAAGTAATGTTAGTTCATTCTCACTTTATAGTTGTGACTTATTATTTTCAAGATTAAATTAGTAGATTTTATTGATTTATTCTCTTTACAATTATTTTACATAATTGCCTGAGTTTATTTTATTCATTTAAATTCTATTATTGGGATGTTGTTCGCTAAAAAACTATTTTTGTCTTAGATAATATGGATGGCTTTAGACTTCCAGTTGATCATAGAGGTCCATCCTTTGACTTGAAGTGAAGAAGTTAATGGCAACCCTCCTTTTGATGTAAAAATTTAAATATGAATTTTTGTTTTGTAAATCTTATTCTAGGAGCTCCACGTAACAGTTAAAGCCCTTATATATGTATTATGCTTGGTTTGTTTGTTAGAAGGAGCAAAGCTCCTTGTTGAATGCTATTTGTTACTAAAAGAAAATACTTTTGTAGAAATTTTGAAGTTTTATTTTGAGAAAGGTCTTGTTTAAATTTTAAAAAATAAAATAAAATAAAAAATAAAATCTTTTGTTTTTATTATTCATATTGAAAATAGTTTGATTTGTTGTTAGATATATTTATGATTCAAAACTTACGATTTCTTAACTTAAGGCTTTTGGAATATGAGTTTTGTTCCTATATTTCGTGCTAGTCATGCTTTATTTTGAGGGCGTGACAATCACATTGTTCCCAAATTTCAGGTCTTAACCCTAGAAAAAGGAGGGGGGAAGGTGGGGTGGTCTAAAAGTGACTGAAACATTGATCTTTAGGTAGGAAACATTGATGCAACTTGGTAGAATTATTTTTTTAAAGAAAATAAATGGACCAAATTGCTCTTGCTACTTGGCAAAGTAGCACAATTGCAAATCTGGGCTTACACCCTATAGCTCATCTACAAATGATCAGTTGAAAATTATTAAAGTTTTATAAATCATATACAAGGCAAGTTAATCTTAGAAACTTGATTGTAAATATTGAAAAACTAGTTACAAATTAGTTGTAATTTATGAAACATTAGTGGTAGATTAATTTTGTATTTTACAAGGGTGTGGAATAGCTTGAGGTGGTTAGAAGTTTTATGAGATGAAATGGAGTGGGATGGTTAGAAGTTCTATGCCATCATTTGGGAAAATATTTTTTTAGAGGCGGCAGTGGAATGGCTTGAGTGGCTTGAAACTTTTCAAGCTATATATCCTTAATCATCCTAAAATCAATTTTTGTTTTTGAACCCCCAATTTGGAAGGTTAGGAATGGAATGATATAAATAATATTATTACAAAATCAACCTCATCTTTCTCACCCCCTCTCACTCTTTCACTCCCCCTCACCCTAAACTTAAAAACATAATTATATCAAATTTAAATCAATTAATTTTATAATTATTCTTAAATAATGATTAAATAAAATTATTTATTCATCTAATAAAACTCACAAACAATGAAATGTTTCATTCTCTTTCACTCCACTTTATTCCATTTCATTAATGACAATTTCTTTTTGTTTCGTGGTATAATCTACAACATATTCCCTAATGTTTCAACTTCAATGTATACAGCCAAACTTTCAGGATTTACATTTGATCTTTCAAAATTTACAGTAATTTAAAATTAATTTATAATTAAGCTTCCAAGATTTGCAACTGAGTTTTCAATATTTATATCCAAGCTTCCGTGCAAGGGCATTTTCGTCCAATTATTTATATAGAAAAACCGTTTGTCCCTTTTTGTAATTTTAACAATTAACCATTCCTAAATATAATTAATTTTTTTTTTGGCCAAACAAATATAATTAATTGACTATAATGGTCTTTAATTTTTAATTTTCCCTACAACTCAAAACAGGACTTGTGAGCTAATAATTACATTGAGAAAGACAAATCATTGTGCAATGAAGAGAATAAGATAATATTTATGATACCCTCAAATCGACAAGTCATTTGTTTCATCCTAGATATATATTGGCAACAGGTCTCAAAAACAGCCGATCTGGATTGGCGATTTTTCATATGCAACCTAGTCTGGAATAAAATATTTGAAAGTCATCGGGGGTCTTGGGAACTGCAATAATTAATTTAAAAAATTCATGATGGAACTCAATTTATAATAGTCTTGAAGGGGAAGAGAAGTGAGGAGATGAAGGTGGTCGTGCAGTCGAAATCTACCGAACCAACACGAGCACATTTGTTTGGACATTTGCAGATTTCAGGGATCAAAGCAACTTGCAGTCTCCGTAAGTTTCTCTTGTTTCTGTTCAATGTTCTTTATTTCACTCTAATCAAATACTGAATGTGCTTGACTTTATGCTTGGAAGATGTTGATGCTGTTGATCTCAATGACGTTTTTATTGTTCAGAAATGCTGACAAGTTGTATTTTTACTAAAAGAATCGAGATAGGCGTTTTGGGTAGCTTCTGATTATTGAAAAAGCTGGCTTTTTCGTCCAAAAGGATAAATTTTAATTATTTTAATGACATAGTAAGGATAGATTATAGGGCCGTAACTTTAGAAACTTAGACATTTGAAGCAGTAGTTTAATTATAACAAGCATCAGCAACTAAAACGGTACGTGGTGAATGCAGTTGACAGAACAAGGAATAGCACTTTGCATTTTTAAGTCAAACCAATGGAAAGAGGTATAGATAAACCAGATAGTGGAACAGAAGAAAGGAATAATGCATGATTTTATCCTTGCTCAGAAAATGAGACTTACATCTTCGTCCAGATAGTGGAAAAGATAAAAGGAATAATGCATTATTTTATCCTTGCTCAGAAAATGAGACTTACATGTTCGTCTTGCAATGCATGAGTATTCTTTTGACGATTTTATTTTTATATCTTCTCCGAAGCAACGATACATTATAATGTTTGGATTAGTACGGGGATTTGGACTTAAACAAAATCTGTTATTTAATTTGGATGCATAAAATTACATGGATTTGGATCAATCAAAATTTTATTATAATTCCTTTAAAATTTCAAATATAAATCGACTCTAGTTATTTCAAATCCCAATCATCATGTTCACTAGTATCTAAACATGTAGACAAGTCATACAAGTAAGACAACTCATTCTTATTGGTATAGATAAAAAACTCAAACTAAATATTTTAAATACATGGATTTTAAATTTGAAGTGTTATATAAAGAGAGATTTTAAATCTAAATTTTATTGAATTCACACCTGTTTAAACAAATAATTTGTCAATTTTCAATTCCGCAAATATAGATCTTTAGTATCCTTGTCGTTTCTTCAGTTTTAACATTTATTACCACATTCACGTACATACAGAAGTAGAGTTCTGCCTGATGGGGGATTCATTGTTGAAAATCCCACTAAGTCACAAACATTGCATTCAATCCTAATATAATTTTGCTTCTAAGGTTGTGCTTTTTGCTCTACTAGCCATTGAATATCATGTTTAGCAAAGGTATCCCCTTTGATTTCTATCATGAGTTAGTTTTGCTTGCTTATTTTTGCTGATAGAAAACTAGTCAATATGAAATTAATGAACTTAATGGTACCTTGGTACTCATACTTCTATTAGACCAATCTGATGCGTATCTATCCAAGTTTTGAATTGTTTCCATATCAAAGATGTCATAATACAAAAAATTCCTTTTTATATCGGTTATAAAAAAAATGGTTAGAAAGTATGGCTAGTAGCATTTTTATAATTTACATCAGTTAGACTTATATATGTTTTTTAAAAAAGAAAAATTTGTTTATTATTTTCAACGCTGGTTATATATGAAACTGGTGTTTATGTAGAAAGGTAATTGGAATTTATTTTTAAAATATACAATTACTATCTATATCAGCTGCATTTATAATTGGTGTAGAAATTAAAAGTAATTCAAAATTATTTTTCTAATGAAATTAATTATCTTTTTACACCTGTTTCTTTAATAACGAATGTGAAAAGTATGCCTTCCATATTGGTTGGTCTTAATTAACAACCAGTATAACAAGTGTTTTACAAGAAAATCAATGACATATGTAACTATGAAGATATTACAATATTGCAAAAGCATTCAATGGTTCTTTTTTCTTTTTCCCAAAAGGATTCAATGGCATTGGATGTCAATAAAATTGCCAATGACATAATGCAAAACATCAACAACGTAAGAGTTGATGTTGAGCCATCTCCAAAGCAGGCTTCCATCTTCAAAGTTCCCGAAGATCTTAGAACTGGATATGAGGATGCCTATACTCCTTCTTTGATTTCAATTGGCCCAATCCATCATGATAAAGAAAAATTGAAGCCAATGGAAGAGGAAAAATCCAACTATCTTAAATATTTCCTTCAACGTCGATCATCAGAGAGTCAAGTGCAACATTACTTAGAGATCTATTTGGCCATGATTTATTTAAAGGAAGATGAAATATGAAGTTATTATTCAGACACATTCCCTATAGACAAGGCAGAGTTTGTGCGGATGATATTGTTTGATGCCATCTTTATCATAGAGCTCTTTCTGCGAAAACAGAAAGGACATGAATTCCATGATGATCCCTTGTTTACCAGAACTAGGATTAAAAAGAGCATTGAGCGAGATTTGCTACTAATTGAAAACCAGATTCCATATTTTGTCTTGGATAACTTGTACCATCTTATACCTGGGAATACAAGTAAAGGACATTCAAGTTTTATGGAGCTTTCACGCAACTACTTTAAGAGATATGATCCATTTCCTTAGAAGTCTATAACTGAAATTAACAAAGGCAATATGTTGAAGCAAGGATGGGAAAAACCAAATCATTTCACAGATTTGATTAGACATCTTTTTGTTCCTCAAGATTTGTGTCGTGACGATGATCTTGCTCCTATTATAAAGACTGCAACAAGATTAAGAAAGGCAGGGATAACTTTTGAATCAGTTTCAGAGAGGTGCTTACTTGATATTAGGTTTGAAAAAAAAAATGCAGTTACAAATTGCCTAAGTTGGTTTCTTTGTTGCTCAAGATGTCTTAGGGCTCGGATGCAAATTCCAAAACTTGTTGTAGATGGCTCGACGGAATCTATTATACGCAATCTCATGGCCTTTGAGCAATGCTACTATCCAAATCACCATTATGTTTGCAACTATGTTGCCCTGATTGCCTATCTCATTCACAATGAACAAGATGTGAATGTATTGGTTGAGGATGAAGTGATTGAACATGAAATGGGAAGTGATGAAAAATTGGCAAGCTTGATCACTACTCTTTGCAAAAATATTGTTATAAACTCCTCTTGCTATGCCTCTCTCTCAAAGGAAATAGATGAATACTACCACAACCCCTTTAACAATAACTGTGCGGCATTAAGGTTGGTATACTTTCGAAATCTTTGGAGAAGCATTGGCACAGTTGTTGGCATTGTTGTTTTTATTATTTTTGGTTTTGTTGCCTTCTATAAAAACATAAAAGATTTACTGAAACATTAATTCTTCTTTCTTGTAATGCTTGTAATTAATGTTGCATTGCTTGTTCTGCTATATTTTTATGGTTAGTTGTAATTTAATCTGTGGCTTTATGAGCTCATTGAAGGGTGAAAATAAGATACACTTGTTTCATTAGCTTTGAAGCACATGTTTTTCCTATTTTGTTTCCCATTGTGTTTGATATAATAAAATCACGTATCTTTTTAAAAGGGGGGAAAATCAAAGGCTTAGTTTTGTGAAAATTTTTGTGAACAGTAAAAATAGAAGCGGCCTGTTGTATATTGTGTGCATGACAACGAAAAGGTTGTGATCGAAAGAGTGCGTAAATGTATTGCCATAAAAAATATTAAGAATCAATGGTCAAATTATGCTTTTGGTCTCTTAATTTAATGTAATTAATTTGTGTCCCTTGCGATGCACGGGTGTGAAATGATAAGTAGTAACTTAAATAAATATTAAGATATAAGTTAAATTATGAAATTACATTATTGTAAAGAATAAATTTTAAATTAACGTAATTGGTATTTTTTAATTTGTAATGATGGACTAAATATAATAATTATTTAAAAACCTCCATGTAACATCCTATTGAATGAATTTAATAACTAAATAATTTTTATTAAAAATATTTAAATTATAAATAATATATACACATTGCACAATTAAATTAGAATTAAGAATTAAACTTGATTTCATACATTAGATTTGGGGTAAAGATTATGTATCACAATTTTCTCCACTAAAGCACAATTTGGATTTAAAATTATCTTAAGCCAATTAACCTAATTAGCTAACTTTCCTAGGTCTTAGATTAAAGTTTCTAGTTCAATTAACTAATTGGTGAAGAAATTAGTCAAGTGATTCATTCAAACCTCTCCCTCAAATACCATGGCCAAGACAAGGAATCAAGTAACCACAAGATTATGTCAAGCTACTGAATAACTCAAGCATTAACATCACAAGATTATGCAATATTAACACATGTAATTCACTAATTGAAAAATACAAGATTATGTGTTAAATAAAGAGAGGAAAAATTCAGTCATGGCTATCCAAGGAAGAAATCAAATGAAACAATCCTATTTCTTTACATCGATCGACATCAAATTCAAATTAGAATTTACAAGTTAAGATGAATAAACCCTAGCTAGATTAAGAAATCTAATAACCATCTAGTAAAAAGAGAAGAGGATAGGAAATAAAAGAACTTAGCCAATTTGAAGCTCAAGACTCATCCTCCATCTTTATCTCTCAGGATTCCACCAAAGAAATTAGCTAATCTTCATCATATTCAAGAACCCTAGTAATTGCTTGTGAAGACCAAACTCCATAGCTCTTGAATGATGGAAATAAGCTTTAATTATTGTGAAACTGGGAGGGTTAGGATAAAATTGAGGAGAGGAGAAGAATGGTGTGAGTTTTGTAGAGGCTTGGTGGCTGAAAATGTTAGTTAGGGCGTTGAAAAATAAAGAACAAAAGAGAGAAAATGAAGAACACTATGACCAAGTGAGAGAAAATGTAGGAGATGAGTGAATGGGTGTTGGATCTCAAATTGAGGCTGAATGGATGTGCATCTAGTGTCTCCCTTCAGCTGAATACTCAATTAAACAATGGGAAAAGAAAATAAAAAGAAAATGGGAGCCTTGTCACAGTTGCAAGGTGACACATCCTCCTATTAGTTTGTAGATAATTCCAATGTGTACCTAATTTTTCATGTGTCATCCACATTTTAGCTGACTTAATCTCCCAAAAATATCATAAATCACGTGTGAATGCTTAACTATTGATCTTAAAAGTATTGATCTTAATTGTCCAATTGATGCACAAGTTATATGTCACCTATGTCACATAAATCACATAATTCAATTAAATAGCACGTGACATAATAAAATTAAATTAATGTTCAGAATTAAATTCATAATTAAAAGAGAGAATTTATTAAATAACCAAGTTTTAGGTTACACAAAATTATATAAAAATTTTCACACAAAGACAACTTAAAAACTAAGTCAAACTCAGACACCTACGAAAGTGTTGACTTTTTATTTGATTACTTCCAAACTAAAATGAATTTTAAAAATATAATTTCATCACTCATCAACTGGACATAAAATTCATTTTTTTTTAATTTTTCTTGTACATTTTCTCAAAAGTTTATTTTTTGGCCCAAAATGCCTTTAGTGCACTAAACCTAGAAACTTAGGAAAAATTTCAAATATAATGTAATGTGTGTACTTGAAGGTGATAAATCATTAATAAAAGGATCCTAATTGACAAATAAAAGTGGGTAGCAAATGTGTTTTATCATCATGTTAATTTTGGAGGTGATAAAAAAGGTCACATTACTAGTTTTGGAAATATGGGAAGAGGAAAATAAGTAAGCATTGAGGGAGTACTATATGTGAAAGGTCTTTTCCACAATCTAATAAGTGTAATTCAAAGCTATGATAGAGGAAACAAAGTCATCTTTGACTTAAAAGAATGCATTATTCAACGAAAAGCAGATGGGAAGATACTTATTCGTGCTAACAAAGATGGTAATTTTTATACTATTGATTTAGACTATGAACCTCTTTCTCAAACCTGTTTTCTAAGTAAATTTGAAGAAAGCTATTTATGGCATAGACGATTGGCTCATGTGAATAAAAGACAGATTGAAAAACTTTTACAAAATGATTTAGTAATTGGTTTACCACCCTTAAACTTTGACAAAGAAAAAGTTTGCTAAGCCTGTCAATTTGGAAAATAAACTAAAACTTCATTTAAGTCTAAAGATTTTATTTTATTAAAAAAACCTCTTTAGCTCTTGCATATGTATTTAGTAGGTCTTGCAAGAACAAAAAGTTTTGTTGAAAATCTTTATACTTTGGTTATTATTGATGACTACTCTAGATTTACCTAGACTTACTTTCTTAAATCTGAAGATGAAACTTTTTATGCCTTTAGTGTATTTGCCAGAAAGGTCCAAAATGAGAAGGGTATTTATATAGTGTCAATCAGGTCTAACTATGGAAGAGAATTTGAAAATGGTGACTTCATGAATTATTGCGATGAAAATGAAATCAAACACAACTTTTCTACACCAAGAACTCCTCAACAAAATGGAATAGTAGAAAGGAAGAACAGAATACTCATAGAAATAGCTAGAGTTATTCTTAGTGACAATGGCATGTAATAAATATTTTGAGCTAATGTCATGAATACTGCTCGTTACATCATCAATAGAGCTTACATAGGGCTAAGCTCATCATGACACTATATGAACTCTATAAGGGAAGAAGGACAAACATATCTCATTTCCATATATTTGGTAGCAAGGTTTATCCAAAACAATAACAAGGAGAATCTAGAAAAATTTGATCCCAAATCAGACATGGAAATTTTTCTTGGATACTCTAATAGGAGTAAAGATTTTTGTGTATTCAACCTCATATCCAAGTAAAGCATTCAACCTCATATATAAGATCATGGAAGAATCAATACATGTAATGTTTGATGAATTTCTCATGGAAAAGAAGAAGATTTTTGATGTTGATGATATCACTGAAGACCTGTGTGATCTTTAACCAAAGAAAAAAAATTCAATAGAAGATCTAAGAGAGAAATTTGAGACTCCCCTTAAAGATAATGAAATTAAAGAAGTTCAACAACCAACCACATAGAGAAATAACAAAAATCACCCTTTGGATCAAGTCATTAGAAATGTCAATGAACTTATATAGATCATAAGTAAATTCTAAAACATTGCTAGTCATTCAGCCTTCATTTTATAAATAGAGTCAAAAATAGTGGAAGAAGCCCAATTTGATTTGCATTGGATAGATGCAATACAAGAAGAGCTTAATTAGTTTGAAAGAAGCCAACTGTAGGACTTGGTACTAAGGCCCAAAAATCATCCAGTAATTAGAACTAAGTGGGTCTTCAAGAAAAAACTTGATAAAGGAGGCATCATTATCAGAAAAAGGTCAACTAGTGGCAAAATGATACAATTAGGAAGAAGGTATAGACTATAAAGAAACCTTTTCTCCAGTTGATAAATTGGAAGCAATTCATCTACTTCAAGCATATGCATCTGTAAAAGATATCAAGCTATACTAGATGGATGTAAAAAGTTCTTTTCTCAATGGTTACATCTTTAAAGAACTATATGTTGAACAGCTACTTGGTTTTAAAGATCATTAGAAATCCGATACTGTCTTCAAATTGAAGAAAGTTCTCTATAGACTCAAACAAGTACCTAGAGCCTAGTATGATCGATTGAGTTCCTTTCTTTTAGAAAAAGAATTCAATCGAGGTAAAGTTGATACTACTCTCTTTATAAAAAAAAAGGGGTTAATTATTAATTGTTGAAATTTATGTAGATGATATTATATTTAGTGTAACTGATGAATCTTTGTGTAAG